ATGGAAATAGAATTATCAGAAAATGTCATAAGACTTAAAAACAGAACCTCTGATCCCAATCCCCAGAGTAAGAGGCATCCATAGTCAGAGCTGAGTAGCTCAAGAACATAGGGCTACCACAGAGGAGCCACAAAATTCAAGACACAATGTGTATGAAGCAATATTGTATGTGGCATTGGAGCAAGCACTATATGCTCAGGTAAATAAAGAATTTTCCTAAGCAGGTGGGTTCTAGGTTGGATCTGTATGGTAACATAGTGTGTACCCTGTGCTCATTGAAAACAAAAAGTAATGAAGTGAAAGAACTGGTTATGATATGAGCAAATAATATTCCATATCTTTGTTTATTCCCACACTTCACCTCTTCAGTATCCATGTGTTGCCTCTCTAAAGAGAAAGTATGTATTTAATTGTCAGAAGACTCTGTATGAGATGCAAGGACATTCATTACCCCTCATTGGCAGGGAATTGAGATCTCCACTTCCCTGTACCCAAAGACCTGCACCACCCTGGCTATGTTTGCCCATTACATTTCTTTCTCCTCCTGTTTAAATACTATCATAGAGCACTCACTGTTTAAAGATTCTCCTATGACTTCCAGCCATCACTAAAATCAAGCTTACACTTTTTCTATAACTATTGAGTAGCACTTCCAACAGAGTTTTCGGAAATGATGGAAATGTTCTGTCTATACTGTCCAATGCAGTAGACACTAGCCACATGTCACCAAACACTCAAAATGTAGCAAATGCAGCTATAGAACGTGATTTAAACTTTTTACTTAATTGTAATTAATTCAAATTTAAATCGCCACAAGAGAATCTTGCCCACTGGATTGGACAGCACTGGGCCAGACTATTTTTGAGAAAAGTCCAGACTTTTTCATTGTCCCCTCACCTTCTGTTTCCTTTCCTGCAGATGCCAGTGTGACCAAAGATCGTTTAGAGACATCAATCTACACATACTCAGTCCACTGGTCTTGAAATCTGCAGAATGTCCCAGGTGTTGAAGCATTGTTGCCCTACACTACCTAGTGGAAAATATTTGGGGAATTTATAAAGTTGCAAAAAAAAAAAAAAAAACCCACCATCAAACCATTCGGATAATCCATTGCTGAAAGGAATTTTATCACAAGTATGAATTACCCTGACTCCACCTGGAATTTTCATCTGATATTCCAGTGGCCTATGATAATGTCAGTCAGTTGGCATTTCTTAACAGCCACTGTGTACAGAGTGGATTTCTAAATTCTAAAAAGAAAAAAAAAGTACTGATCAGGAGGGGCTTGCTTCTAATTGGGAAAAAATCCATCACTCACAAAGACATAAAAATGAAATACTCAAGAGTGTATTTATTTGTCATCTTACTTTTGCTCATTAATTTCATCCCCATAAACTAAGCTTTAGGTTAGGAGGCAGACTCCATGCCTTTATAGAATCTTCTATTCTCAGTCTAAACCCCTGCTACATTTGTCGGAGCTTCTTAGAAATTCAGTCTCTACCTTATTCTTACAGAACCTGAATTTGTATTTGAATGAGGTGCCAAATCGCATGTACGTATATTACATTATTAAAAAAAAACTGATCTAAACTCTTCAGAATTGTCTACAATGATCCCAGTAAGTATGTGTGCTTGTTAGAAAGGTAGTGATAAAATGGTCTTCAGCTTGTATTATATTTTATGGAATATTTAAATTATTTGTAAAAAGCTCATCAATTAACTGATTAGTTATAACTTAAATTTTAGAAGTAATGTATTGAGTGGAAAGAAAACTAAATTGAGACTAGTAAAACCTGAATTTTCTAGGGGACTTAATGATTATCTATTCATGTAACTTTTGAGCATGCCATTCATTTTGTTAGGTTTCAGTAATTTTTTAAAATTTCTATTAATTCAATATAAAATGAGGGTTTTCTACTAGTTTCTCTCAAACCAAGGTCTACGACATTTTAGAATTTCACAAAAGTTATGATAATTCCTCAAATCATCTTTTGTATATAAAAAAAGCCCAACATTGGAATTATACATTTAACCATGATGAGGTTACGCAGAATTGTCTTTTTTCTTTTTGTGGTGCTAGGGATTGAACCCAGGACATTTTTTTATTGTTCTAATTTGTTATATATGACATCAAAATGCATTACAATCCATATTACACTATAGAGCACAATTTTTCGTATCTCTGAATCCAGGGCATTATGCATGCAAGGCAAACACACTCCCAACTGAGCTATATCCCCAGCCCAAATTGTCTTTTTAACTCCCATGTTTTCATTGCTTCACCAGATTCAAATAAAGTTTACATTGTTTCAGACATAGGAGAAATGCTCTCATTTTAAGACTTGTGGAATTAATATGGAACTGATATTTAACAGTCCTGACTGTAAATGAACCTAAATCCCTGGATTGTTAAACTGTTGTTTGAGCCTGAGTCCTCTCAGTCAGTAGAGATTAGGAACAGCAAGTCACCCTTTTCTGAAAAGAGTCTTTTATACAGACTTTACCATGGATTTGTTATCAGTCAGCTCCAGAGAAGACCCTCCAGGAAGGGTACACAGGCTACTGGCAGGGAATGTAATAGAAGAAGAAAGTAAAATATAACAAAAAACAAAGGTAATCCACTTCACAATATTGCCTAGAGTCAAAGTCCTTTCCAGTCAGACAAAAAAAAAAAAAAAAAAAAGAAAATGGATAGTTTTTCCTCTGCTTACATCTTTGTCTAGCTTATTTCTTTCTCATAATCTGCTTATGAATGTGAAGCTTTTTTTTTTTTTTAAGTTTACCAGTGCTGAGGTTGCAACCCAGGACTTTATGCTTGGCACTCTACCCTGAGCTATGCCCTCAGCCCCTAACCTCCTTTTTCTGTTTGACTTCAGTAACTTCATACAGTCACTATTTTGTAAAATCAAAAACATATTTGTCTCCACTAGGAATACCTGAAAACATTCCAGTCCCTCAATATTCTAAGGTCTTAGTAAAGACTATATTTAAATCCCACACTGCATTTCATAGAAAATGTGACTTTCCTTTAAGAGTTTGTTCCCACATCCCCTACTTACACCAAACATACTTTCAAGTTTAATAAAAGCTTTACCTGCCAAGGCAGCAAATCTGGCTATAATTAAAAGGGAAGAAACATTTTATACAAGAAAATGTGTTATTTGGTTAAAGCACAAATATGAAAATCCATGAAAGGTGATAACAAGATACAATTTGTGTTCCTGTTTTTTATTTACTGAACAAGCTGTTAGAAGAAAAATTGTTTTAACTATGAACTTACTGTATTTGAATACATTTTTAATGTTTCACATAGTGACTGCTGTGGAGCCTGTAAAAATAACTTCAAATTCCCATGTCAAGTGGAGCGTGAAGATTTGGTTTCATTTTCAAAACTGCTCTGTTGAGAAAAATGCCCTAAAAAGCAATTCTCATTTTACTCCCAACAGCTGCCGGACGAATTATAAAATGTATTTAACTCAATCTGAAATTTAGAATTTTGATCTCTGAAGAAAGTATTTGGAAGAGTCTCACACATGCAAGGAAAAGGATTTGAAACTTAGATAAAGCTTCAGAAAGTGAGAAGCTCTGTGAAATTTTAACAAAGGGTCACTTCCCCCACCATCACCAAGAATGCTTCAGATCTATACTATACAATTTAATTCTTTATATACTGTCTTATACATGGAAGATTAGTCCTTTATTTCTGAATTTTAAATCTAGGATCATGACAAAAAGATACTTAATACAAACAAATTCAAGTAAATATTTATTTTTCCACACATATGCAAATGTTACAAACATACATATATGGGGCCATATATATTTACCCATTATAATCAAGCTTTTGAACATAGTGTATCTTTCTGAAGTTGTTGACACCCCTTTAGGAGTTATTGGCTAATAAGGACCCAGAGCCATAGTAATTTTTCAAAGCCTATCTCAGGGAGACATCACAGATCCACAGGAAAGTATGCAAATGATCTAGTCTAACAGCACCTTCTGTCTGAACTGGTGGCCTGTAGGATACATAGCTACCTTCCCATCTAATACTGCCAGGCTTCAGATAGGGCTAATGCCACAGCCTTATCTGCACTTAGAATGAGCTGTAATTCATCACTGTCACATCTCTGAAAAAAAATCACAATACAGTGTTACAGTATTATCTTTTTTCTGCAGCGTTGATAATTTTGGTATTTGCACCAGGGAAAATAATAATTTGTATATTAATAAAATATGTTCCATGTGCTATCTCTCTGACCTATCTCCTTTCACTTCATTAAAGATTTTCCATGAAATCGGTAAACACTATACATTTGTGGAAAGAGAACTAAATTGAATATCTACAGGGGATTGACTCCAGGTTTTCTTTTCTCCACAGAAATAAATATCTGCAAACACCCATGTCTCATAAAAAATGACAAAGTATTTGCCTATAGCCTTTGCATATCTTTCCAAATACTTCAATTATCTCTAAATCACTTATATTACCTAGTACAATATAATATAAATAATAATAATAATATAAATAGTTGTTATAGTATGTGGTTTAAGGAATATTGTCCAAAAAAGTCTATATGTTCAATATAGTTACAATTAAAAAATTTTTTTATTTATGGTTGGTTGGATTTGTGGGTTCAGAACCCACAATATAGACAGCCAACAGTATTCTGCCTAAATAATAACATAGGTTATTATGCTTCTCAATATCTGTGTTTGAGTGAGATATAAAATGTTTCTTTCAGCCAGGAATGGTAGTGTGAGCCTGTACAGAAGTGATATGTATTCACTAGACACTGTACTTGGGATTTTGAGTTTGGGTCTTTTCCAGAGCTAGTGCTGTGTGGTCTGATCCTCCAGTCTCTTGATACTGGGTAGCAGCAGTGATTGTCAGTCAGAGCTATGATCATGAGGGGAAGCCACTGACACTCTACAGCATGCTGTGTTGCTAATCTGTGAGGTTCCTTAGGTTAGGTGCATTAAGTACAATTTTGAATTAATGATATTTTCAATATATGAAGGTTTTATTGGCATATAATCCCACTGCAAGTCAAAAAGCACCTGTACATTATAAAGCTTATCTGGTTACTAGACATGAGCCACAAAGTTGGCCCTGAGGAAAACACAATCGGTTACAAGATTCAGAGTGTCCATGAGATAAGAGCAGATCAAGAACATAAGTAGGTGATCTTTTATTATTAATAGAACTAAGAGAAATTTCTTCTCTGAATTCTTAATAGGGCATACAATACAATTTACCAAGCTACAATCTCTATGATAATCTTTTCAAATATATAATATTGAGTTTCATTTTGCTATACAACATTCTTCAGAATAATAACAATGAAATACAATAAATAACTGAGCACTACATTGGATAATTTAGATAAGACATATTAATAGATTACCAATATATCATGGTAATTCATGACAGCTGCTGTAACAACCAAACACAAAGTTTTAGTCTCTTTTTTTTTTTAAAGAGAGAGTGAGAGAGGAGAGAGAGAGAATTTTTAATATTTATTTTTTAGTTCTCAGCGGACACAACAACTCTGTTGGTATGTGATGCTGAGGATCGAACCCGGGCCGCACGCATGCCAGGCGAGCGCGCTACCGCTTGAGCGACATCCCAGCCCCAAGTTTTAGTCTCTTAAAGCCAGAAAAAAACAGTAAAATGCAGGCTGCGTGTTTCTCCTTGGAAGTTTTCCTCCTGTAGGCAGCTTCTACTCCAGCTATATTGTCTGGTACACATGGCTACCCGATATCAATGCAGCAGATGAAGAAGCAAAAGGTGGAGGAAGTTACACTGGCTCTTGACTCAAGCATGGTTACAAACCAATTCTCCATACACACCATTGGCCAGCAGCACATGATGACGTGGCTACTCATTACTTTAAGAGAAGCTGAAAAATGTCATTTATGTGTGCCCTGGAAAAGGTAAATAAAATGGGATTTGATGGGCTTATATTATTTTCTCATTAGCCAGGCATGGTGGTGCATGCCTATAATCCCAGAGACTCGGGAGATTGAGGCAGGAAGATCACAAGTTTGAGGTCAGCCTCAGCAACTTCACAAGGCCTTGTTTCAACATAAAAAAGTAAAAAGGACTAGGGATATAGCTCAGTAGTAAAGTGCTCATGAGTTTAATCACGGGTACCTAAATAAATAAACATTGCCTCTGCTACAACTAAGAATGCCAGTCTGAGGAGACTGGATGTGATCCACTATACACTAGCTCTGTGGTTCTCAAAGAGGAGTGTACATACCACACAGAATGCACTAGATGTGATACAGGAACAGTATGTTAGAATTTGTATGGTTATATTTGAATACAACAAAAGGAAAAAAATACACCTGGATAAGATGGCCTCATGTCACAAGAAGCAAAGTGTTTGGACCAAAGAGTTCTATGACCCAAAGGAGTTGCAAGAGATGTTCTTACTTGATTGTGAGCTTTCAGTGTATTGACAGGCGTAGTAGTTTCTGAGGGTCTGATAATGGATACACTGGTTATATTATCCAGTATTCATGAAAATAAGGCTGACAATGATGGATAACTGGTTTTGAAAAGAGTCCTACAAAAGCACTGCAGACTGAAAATGATACTAAAATATCACTGAGCAAGGAAAAAATTGCAGGGCTCCTGCTTCATTCTCTAGTTTTATTATGAGATGAAGTCAATTAGCTAATCAGACAAAGTTCATTTAAAAAAGATAATTCTCAGAATTATTTGAAAAAAACTGGAGAATTTAGATCCACTACCATTAACAATGAAAAAATGCTAACTGTATATTGTGCCTTTAGATATTAGCTATTAATGAAATAGAGCCATGACAAGAATTCAAAGTAAACAATCCACAACACAAAGATAAAAGCTCTTCAAATAAATTTTCAGCAATACTCAGTCCAGTGTTTGATAAAATTTTACTAAACTTTAAATTTTCACAAGCTCCCTTTTATATTTGTTACTAAATTACAAAGACAAAAGCCATTGCTTTTCCTATCATATTAAAAATGATAAAAGGTAATGTTTACATTCATTCATTCATTCAAAAAACAGTTAATTAAGTGTCTTTATGGGTTGGGCATAGTTCTAAGCATCAGGAATTTAAAGAACGGACAAAACAGGCAAAATCCACTGCCTTCATGGAGCTTACTTTTCAGTATTACAGTTCTCAATTGGGACTGATTCTGCCCCTGGGGCCTATTTGGCAACAGCTGGAGACACTTTCACTTTTCACAGTTCAGATGTGGCCGGGTTGGGAGATAATATCAGTAGCTAGTATCTACTGAGTAGAAGCAAGATACTCTTCCAAAAAGCCTTTTTGTACATAGGGCAGCCCCTTACCAAATAATAATGAATATTTACATATATGTTCTGGCTCAAAATGTCAATAGTGCTGAAAATAAGAAATCACCAATGCTTAATTTCATAAGAACAAGATATTTAAAGATATTTAATTTATTGTAGAAGCTTTAATATACTATACAATGAGATAGAATGTGACCATGAAACTTCTTTGGAACATACAGTAATTACCCGGTCAACAACTGTCCCATTGAAAAGTGAGTTCTGTGACTTTCATTTACAAAATAAGTGGCTTGTATATGTTGCCCATTTCTATGACAAGTAGCTGTTAGTAATATACTTACTGAAAAAAATGACTCTATCTCTTCAAGGCCAAGGTGATGTTTCACTAATGGTTAAGAAAGTTACTGCTTTTTGAAGGAATTTGTGCTTGTGGTGTATTTTTGAGATATTTGGATCCCTACAAGGTTTCATTGCCAAAAAATGATGTAATTGCATGATCTAAAAAAGCTCTTATTCTATACTTTTATAAAATCTGACCATGATCTTACCAGATTGCAGGCTGGACTCCAGGGCTTAAGTGATCCTCTCGCTTGAGCCTCAATTTGGATTACAGATGTGCACCACCACACCAACTTAGAAAATATTCAAAAGAAAGATCTTGGGTGAGTTTTAAGTCTAATCAGTCTAAAAGAACAAATGGATGATGTCAATTAACCTGGAGACTTTAGGAACCAAATTCCAACAAAAATGTCTCCCAACTGGTAGATGGAACTGTTAATACAGTAGCTCCTCCTTATTCTTGGGGGACACATCCCAAGAACAGATGTCTAAAACTTCGATAATACTGAACCTATCACTTAATGCCTTTTCCATATTGACTCAGCAGTTATAATACACTGTGGTCATAACTTTGCAATTTGAGGTGTGACAGCAAAACTATCATTATTTTCTTTTTCCTTCTTCACAATTTCACATATAAAAGATTCTTTCTTAGCAACTTCAGTGTTAAATATTTTCATTCATTATTAATTCAAGAACTTTCACCTGTTCACTTAAAGGAAGCATTTTATATCTTTGATATATCTGCACTTCTAGATCTCAAATGATATATAGTTTCTATGCAACTTCTCTTTGTCTCTGTCAAAAATGTCCTGGTTGATAGGTCTTCTCTCTCATCTGAAACTTCTCATTCCCACCCTTCAACACCCCAAAGTTGCAATTGAAGCCCTCACAACTGAAAGAGGTCACCATGGTCATGACCAGAGGATGCGGTCCTTTGATGAGCCAGACTGAATCAAAGCTACCTGCATCATTTATCTGCAAGCTAAGTAGGTAGCAGTAATCAATACCCCCAGCCATCGACTTGCTTATACACAAGGTACAGACTACTTTGTGAGTTATTAGAGGGTCACCTGTTGCACTGAGACCTCATCTTCCTTGTCTGGTGTTCAACATCCTTCCTACCTTGTAATCATTGTCATTTCTGTGACAACCAGTGAATGGTGACCATTTCAGCATATTTCTCTGAGTCTCTGAAGCACAAAACAAAATTAGGACAACCAAGTCAATTGGAGAGTAATTTCTGTGGGAATTCAGATTCTGCTGTCAGACACCAGTGTCTTTCCCTGTCCGCCTCCATCAGACAAATAAACTCAGGGCAGTGGTACTACCTTAGAGGAAGCCGAAAGATAACTAAATGGTGGACCTGCTTTGGGGAGGAAAGGAATGAACAATGACATGCAATTTTTTTTTCTTTTAGGGAATGATAAACAACATAATACCAAAGCTTTTGCGCTAACTAAATAACTTAGTTTTTTGCACAGTTAAGAATAGCCTATGATATTCTGGATGTCCTGATACTACAAATACATATCATGGACTTGAAATTTTATGCTGAAATCTTGGCAAGGAACATTTCCTTAGATTTTTTTTTTTTAGTTCTGATCCCCTCCCTTCCCCTTGCTCACCTGGATATGCTATCTTCCCTAACTCTTCTCTGGTCACCATCATTGATTTGCTTGAGATATTTTTTTTTTACTTGGAAAAGAAACAAAGAAAAGAAATTTCTTTCTTGGTGAGCTATCCAGAACTTTGGAGATATTGTAACTGACTTGAAAATAATCAAATTCTCCTGAAATACACATTTGTTTCTTAAATGTTTTTTCAAAAATATCTTTTTGCAACTTCAAACATTATGCTTTTACTATTTTTTGTAATTATACTTAATTACAAAACAGATCCCTCTCTCCCTGAAATGTGGAAATGTTATGCAACATTTATACAATAAACTTTTAATCTTCTTCCCATAACTTTCGTGTTACTCCAACTTCCTAGCATTTTATTCAATTTATATAATTTTTTCCTGAATAAAGTTTTATGTGTCTATTTAAGAAATACAAAAGCCAAAAAAATGGTATATAAGTTTTCTTTTTTTGAGTTCTCATCTTGTAAAAATGCATGATGAAATATGTCAAATAAGTCTATGTGATTCTGGAGATTGCTTCAATATCATCTAGTTGAGGTAAAAAGGAGAAGGTCTAGCCATGAGTTGGTGATTGTGGAAGTTGGGTTAGATGTATAATGCATAGATTTTCAACATTTTTAACTTTCTAATTTTGTCTATATTCAGCATTTTTCATAATAAAAAGCAGAAATTATTCCCTATTATGATTTCATTACTTCAGTTAACAATTTACTCCTTGCATTTGGATTAATATATTTTGAGCTATGACAGTCATTCAGAACTAATGTCTAAGTTAATTGAACATAATATGAGATTGCTGTTTATCTATCTCAGAAAATGTTTCCAAGCAAAAGAAGCCAATTTGATCACATTGATCTCACCATAATGTATTAAC